ACTCTTCTTAGATTTCTAAAAGAAGTTTCAAAACTTTTAAATATAAAATTTATTTTTATTTGTTATATTTTTTTAAGAATTTGAACTTTTTACATCAATCGTTATTATCATTTAACCAAACTTTTTATTCGGTACACTTATGTTTTTTCTGCATCTAATTCTTTCTCTTTTTTACCTTTTAACCACCATCATAAAAAAAAATATATATTTACAACCGCTTTGACAACCGCTCGGTTAATCATACGCGATTAACGATCAGAATTTTTAATTGGCGATTGTTGAGTGGGCGATTTGCGAGTTTTAATGGGTCAATTTGAACACAAAAATACAAATGGGCCAATAAAACGCAGAATAGGCCCAATTTTTTGCTAATTCGAATTAAAAAATCTAATCTCGTTTGAACCGACCGGAGATTCCGAGCTCGAGAAATGGCGAAATCAATGGCGACTCTGGATTCTGGCACCACCTGCTCCTCCTGGACTTTGTCCGGTCACCGATTAGCCGCCGGATCCTTAGATGGAAACATCTCCGTTTACGACTCTCCTGTTCCTTCCGCTTCGTCTTCTTCATCTTGCACTCGCACTTCCAAAGTTAGGGTTAGTGAATCGAGTGTTGTAAAGATCGTCTGGTTACCTTCTGAATACGGCGATGCAGTAGCTTGCATTTGCGAAGATGGGAGTTTATCGATTTGGGAAGAGGTCTCTCAAGGTAACTCTGTTCTCTTTGTGAAATCTATCTTCATGGATTGGTGTTTGAAAAATTTGGAATCATTTTTTAGTGGTTTTAGTTGTGAAATCTATCTTCATGGATTAGAGTTTGTTTGTTTGTCAGACTCACATGTTCTTGAGTGGAAATTGTGTAAGAGTCTCAAGAGCAATTCTAGTCAAGTGCTTGATGTTCAATTTGGAGTTACGAGGAAGAGTCTAAAGATGGTGAGTTTCTGAGACTTGTTAGTTTGGTTTTCGGTGTTTAACATGCTCTTATGCGACCATTTTACACATTACGATTCTTTGATTATTTTGTAGGTTGCTGCATATTCTGATGGGTACCTTAGGGTTTTTGAGCTGTTGAATCCATTGGAATTAAAGAATTGGCAACTTCAGGTTGCTTATACATCTGTTGACCTTATACATTCCTTGTTTTTTCTTGTGTCTATCGATTTCTTGCTCATATTTCTCACCGTTCTGTGCAGGCCGAGTTTCAGAATGTTATCGATTCTCTATCGACTCTTGGTAAACCTTCTAGCTTATCCGCATCTGTTTCTTGGAATCCTGTGAAGAATGAAGAGCAAGAACCCAGCTTTGTATTAGCTTTCAACTCTGATTCTCCGCATCTTAATTCTTCCAAGGTACATTTTGGAATAAGTCCTTATTTCGCTCTGTTTGAAAATTGGAAACCGATGAATCAACGATTATTTTGCGTTGTGTCTAAAATGATGATAGACTTGTTGTTGCAGATCTGGGAGTTTGATGAAGCTCATAACAAATGGTTGGCGGTAGCAGAATTAGCCTTACCAGAAGACAAAGGTGATCCAGTTTATGCTGTGTCCTGGGCCCCTAATATTGGCCGGTAATCAAAACATTCCTGGTCCGATTTCAAATTTGTTTTGAGGCGCTCAAACTAATCCTCTTTCGATATCGTTGATACAGACCATACGAAGTTGTTGCTGTTGCAACTCATAAAGGCATAGGAATATGGTATGTTGGTCTAGCTCCTGACCATGAAGGAAGGCTTCCGGTAAAGAAGGCATCCTCGCTTTCTGGTCATCAAGGCGAGGTATCAAATTCCAAAGCTCCTTCATCTTTCATCTCTCTTCTGATTTGATGTTTGTTTGATTAGCTGAGATTTAAACTATAGGGTCTAGGCTTTCGATCTTTGATCCTACTTTCGATATCCTTTCATTTGTGTAAAGAATATACTAAATTTGATGTTTCCTGGTCAGGTTTGGCAGATGGAATGGGACATGAGTGGCATGACTTTAGCCAGCACTGGAAGCGATGGGATGGTCAAGTTGTGGCAGTCAAACTTAAATGGGGAGTGGCACGAACAGGCCATGCTTGAACCAGTTTCCTCTTAGTCTTTAGTTCCCCTATCGGTTTCCCCTTAGTTCCCGCTTATTACTACATTCATCATGTAATGCCACTTACTTTTTGTACCATTCAATTTTAATATGACTTTACAATAGTATTCTTTTTTAATAGAAAAAAAAATTGAATTGGTACATCATATATAAGAAGAACCAACCAAATCAAAGAAATTAGTGTGTGATTATCGAATCTCATATATAAACCAAAAATACAGGGATATTAAAATGCTTTTCAGTGTTTTTTCTCACTCCTAGCAAAAATTAAAGACGCAAAATAAATCGTTGGGAAAATATTCTACCGGCAACTACTGCTGATAGTTGCGAGAGAATAAAATCCGAATTGGCACATTATATGTAAGAACTCTAATCAAATCAAAAACACTAGTTTGTGATTATTGAATCCTATTTTTTAACGATTTATACGCCATTTTTTTAGTAAAATAAATCCATGGGAAAAGCTCTTTACTAGAACCACTTGATATTATGTGAAATGACAGCTCAGTGGAGGGCATCACCACATATGTCACTAAAAGTTTCTAGCCAGTTTGCAACCAACCCAATAGGTGGATATATTAAAACAAAACTTTAAGAGAGAGTACTCAGGAGACCACTAAGAGCAACTTAACCTTGACACCATATTTACTGTTGAAATTACACCAAATTTGATGTTTTGGTGTCAAAAAAGTTTTTTCTTCTCCAACCACAGCACCAAATTTTACACTATAAAAAAATTTTCCATTATTATATTATTAAATTTAAGTTTTTTTTTTCAGTAGTTTGATAAATGATAATTAATTTTAGAACTCATTTATTATAAGATAAATATTATATTATAATCGATAACGACAAATTAAAAAAAAATACAACAATAAATTTAAAATGACGGAAAATAAATTACATTATACTAGTTCACAAAATTAGTATACTCGGACCACAAGTGTTCAATTAACGTATTTCGAAGTTCAATATGAGCTTCTCGGTAATATTATGTTTGTTTGGTTTTAATTTGTAATTTTATGTAATCAGTATTTTAATTAAACTTTAGTATGTATTTTTTAATCTTAATCAATTTGTGTTTTAATTTAGATATTTTGTCCAAATTAAAGTTTCATATTATTAATAATTAAAATCTAACTTATTATT